AGAGAGAGAGAGAGAGAGAGAGAGAGAGAGTTATACGAGGGTAGAAGATATGTATGGGTAGGCTACCCGTAGTAGAACAACAAGTGTGTTTTATCTTCTAGTGTTGTTTTGGGAATTTTTTCTTCTCAATTGAAACTATTCTTATCAGCCGGCCGGTTGTTTGCGAGTCCCGTGCCGTCTGTTTCTCCCGCCGACAAACTAGGGCTTGGCAATGAGTCGCTTTCGCGAAACTCGGATAATGATAAGTTAGTATTGTTAGTTTGTTAGTGCACCTCTTCGGCAAACGGGTTAGAGAACCTTTTCAACAAATGGGTGCACCCACTTCGGCAAACGGGTTAGGAAAGAGAGTTTAAGAGTCTGAATTCGGACAATGTTTCAGTGACGATTATCCGGTTAGCGTTGTGCAGACTTTCGCTTTTCAAAGGGTTAAAATAAACTCGTTTCTGTATCTTACTACGTATCTGTAGCCTTGCACAGACTTTCGCTTTTCAAAGGGTTTAAAAATAACGTGTTTTCTGTGTTGTATTATATAGGCCTATGTGTAGCCGTGCACAGGCTTTCGCTTTTCAAAGGGTTTAAAATTTATAACGTGGTTTCTTTGTTGTGTTATCACATGTATGTGTAGCCTTGTGCAGACTCCCGCTTTCCAAAGGTTAGAAATAGTTCCATGTAGGCCCTATGTGTTCTGTTATGTTTGTGCAACCGTGCGCGTACAGTGCTCACCACCGTGCACACAAACTTCCGCCTTCAAATGTCACCTATGATTGCAGTTTTTTTGTTTTGTTTGTTTTTTGTTTGTTTGTTTGTTTTGAAATAAGATCTGATTACGTGGGTGGTTGGCGGATGCTCTGGTCTGGTTTTGCTCTTTCTTTCCTATCAAACATCGGTCGTCCTGATCTCTGGTCTTTCTTTTTTGGGTGTTTGTTACTCTCTTGAAACAACACCCCTAATATTTTGCACTGATATCACGACCTTATTGTGTTTTCAAGTGCCGTAAAACTCTTACGAAAACTAAAACATCTGTCGTCCTGGTCTCTCCTCTTTCTTTTTTGGGGTATTTGTTACTCTCTTGTAACACTTCTAATCTTTAGCACTTCTATCACGAGACTTTATTGTGTTGCAAGTGCCGTGAAACTCTTACTAAAACAAAAAGCATTTGCGAGAGGGGTGGGTGGTGGTG